CTGCTGAGCTCCCCAAACCCCACCCGTGGCCACCCCCATCCCTGCTTCCATCCCCACCTCGGGCCCAGAGGAGCTGGGACGAGCATCCCCGCTGCCCGGCCACCTTTCCACCACTGGAAAAAGCAAATTTAAGGCCTCCGAGGTTCAATTTTATATCAAATGGGGAATTAAACCAGCCCCCAGGCTGGCGGGGAGGCTCCAGCCCCCCGTGTGCCATCACTCCCAGCACGGCAGAGCCATGAGGGAGGTGACAGCCCCGGGGACAGGCTGTGGTTTGGCGTAGGAAGGTGACACCGAAAGCGGTGACTTACCCCCCCCATTACAATCGGAGCTTTGCACGGCTTCGTGCCCACCGGATGGCAATCGGGGGGGGACGGGGAGGCACCAGGGGCCGTGGCCAAGACACCTCGATGGGTTGAAAAGAATAAATCCTGCCTGAGGCCGGTTGGCAGCAAGTAGAGATGGGGATTTTTTTTTTTTCTGTGAAAATATGAGCTGAGAAAGGCAGGGGGTGGGATGAAATCAGTAGAAATGGGCCTGGGGTTTTGGTAGGGGACAGAGTGGGAGCCACCTTTGGTTCACAGCGTGGGGGACACCCAGCCCCACGTCCCCCCCTCATGGGGTTGTTGTCTGCGCAGCCCTTGAACTCTCCGCTCCATCTCCCAGTGGCAGGGAAAGCCTCAACCACGGGGCTCTGCTGAGACCTGACCCTGCACCGCTCGTCACATCGATGGCAGCCGGATCCCGCAGCACTGGGATGGATCCGGCCCTGTCCCCCCACAACCGCCACTTAAAAAAATCCTCAAAAATGGAGGGGTGACACATTTCGGGGATAAAAGCCCCGGCAGCTTCAAAGGGGGGACGGAGCAGGGATTTTCGGTGGGTAAAAGGCCGGGGGCTGCAGTGGAGCCACCAGCTTGGGGTGCCATGGGCGAAACATTGGGGTCTGTGGCCAGGGAGGCCCACGTGTGCCAGCCAGCATCCTGGCCTGCCAACGAGCCCAGCCCTGGCTCTTAAACGTGACACCGGATTTAATTAATCCACCCCCAAAACCCCCCCAGCATTAAACGGGTTTTGAACCACAATTTGCAAACCAAACCAAACCAAACCAAAACCCACATTCGCCCCCGAACCCCAGCATGTGTGGCCGCAGGCAGCAGAGGGTGGTGCAGGCAAAGGCACGGTGCCACTGCGCTGCCTGTGATCCGTCCGTCTGTCCATCCATTGTTTGTCCATCCATCCATCTGTCCACCCATCTCTTGCCTGGGCTCCCATGGGACAGGGACGGGGTGCATCTGCCTGCACCCCTGGAGGAGGCAGGTGAAGGCAAGTGGGGTGCTTGGCTGTGCTGGAGGGTGAGTTCTTCCCTTGCCTTAATAATAATAATAATAACAACAACAACAACAACAACAACAATAATAATAATAATAATAATAATAAGAAGAAGAAGAAGAAGAAGAAGAAGAAGAAGAAGAAGAAGAGGTGGTGGTTTGGGCCAAGGGAATATTTTGTTCAACCAGAATCAGCCATTTTGAGGGGGTAAAAGCGGTGGAAATAGAGAGAAGTTGAGGTGGTGCCAGTGAGCTGGCAGCCCTGGCAGTGCAGGGGTTAACCCCGCTGAGGGTGATGCTGGGTTTGGGGATGCGCTCTGATGGGTGCCCCCCCCCAGGGGTGCCAGGAGACAGGACGGGTCACTCCCAATTCTCCTTCCCAAGGGGGTGCCCCCCTTGTGGCCCAAGCCCCGAGTTTCCTCTTGCTTGAGCTGGGGCTGGGTAATTGGAGCCAGATTTGGGGTCCAGGCTGGGCAGCAAGGAGGGGTGACCCCAGGGTCTCCTCGGTGGTGGCTCCTCTGGTCTCTGGACAGGGCAGGGACAGCCCTGCTGGCCTTTAACTCCCCCTCCAGCCAAGTGCGCCTTCACTTACCAAGCTCATGTGCATGTCCATGTACATTTGCATGTGCATGCACGTGTGTGTGCATTTGCACGCGCATGTGTGCATGTGTACAGCCTGTGTGCAGCATGGGCATGCACGCATGCGGGGCGGGTGTGCAGAGGAGCACGCGTGCACAGTGCAGGGCTGCAAGGTTGCTGTGCGGTGGGGGGTGCAGCGTGAGTCTGTGCAGCGTGGGTGCGCGTTACAGGCGCGCAGCGTGGCTGTGCGGTGCAGGGGTGTGGTGCAGGGGTGCAGTGCAGGGGTGCAGGGTGAGGGTGCAGGGTGCAGTGCAGGGGTGCAGCAGGGGTGCAGTGTGGGGGTGCAGGATGAGGGTGCAGGATGAGGGTGCAGGGTGCAGTGCTGGGGTGCAGGATGAGGGTGCAGGGTGCAGTGCAGGGGTGCAGCAGGGGTGCAGTGTGGGGGTGCA